AACACTTAGAAGAGTGTTTGAATGAGAATGATGAGACCTAAAATTTAGAGTAAGTCTGAGTTGAAATTCATATGTAGTATTAAGAAAATGACTTTGAATTGGTTGAGTTAAAATGAGACAGTCCTATACTATTGATTATTTGAATTAATCCTTTAACAACAACCCTCTAGACGTAGGTAACATTTCACTTAACTGAATTATTAATTGTTTATGTTCTTTATTTGTTATTTGTTCAAATTGTTCACTTCTTAATTCATACTATTTTGTCTCCAACACTATTATGATATTGTGTGGGCCATCTTGTTTTTGACCGAACAAAATTTTAAAAACCATTAAAAAAATTATTAAAGATTGATATTATTGAAAAAAGTAAAAAAATATAAAAAAGAGTACCAAGAAAAAAAAAGAAAAAAAACTTGATTTTATTTTATGTATGATGACAATTATATAAAAGCATTTTATTTTATTTTAACAACAAATTTTCTACGTTGTTATGTCAATTGTATTGATAACTCTACAAAGTGTGAAAAATGATACAATTTGAGTCTATGCGACTGATTTCGAGTAGTGAAATATGCTACCCTTACATAAGTATTGTTTCTTCAAGATAATGCATGTTTTAGAATTTGAGTTTAAATTCATAACCTTTGCCAAACAGATGAGATAAATGCTTTGGTGATATTGTGTGAAAAATATTGAACTTGATGAATATTTGTTGAATGAAATGTTTGAAATTCCAGTTTCATGTCATTAAGGTTGAAGTGAGTTTGACCATGTTTTTTTTATGATGATATGTGTGGTTTCTTGTTGTTTTAAATTAAACAAAAATGAGAAATTAATATGATGTTCAACGGTCTAGTTTCTCTCCTTTTAAAACAGTTCTTTTTAGGGGTGACAAAAAAATCTGTACCCACAGATAAAATCTGTTATGGATATGAGGCGATAGTTTAATGGATATTCAGGGTTAAAATAAATTGATAGTTAGATACTTGTTTGTTAATAGATATGAATACGAGTTTAATGATATTCGTGCCCGCGGATATTCTTAACTGTTAATAAATTATAAAAATAATTTAAATATCATTTGTTTATTATACCTTATTTTTTTCATCTTCTAAAAAAAATTAGTCTTCTTTATATATATATATATATATATATATATATATATATATATATATATATATATATATATATATATATATATATATATATATATATATATATAATTTTATTTGAAGAAAACTTTCATATTTCATTCAAATTTTATTAACCATTTCATATTTAAAATCTTCAATACTTCATACCACACTTCAACAATTTCACAGTCCAGCCAACTAGTGTCGTCATTCCTCTGCTGAACCAATGTCTCCCTTCCTACTCCTCTGTCGTCTGCTCTTCCGTCATCACTCACAATCACAACATCTTTTAATTATTTGGTTAAAAATAAAATGTATGGATAATATGTTTGGATCTAATTATGTTTTGGTGAATAAGAAGAAAATTAATGTGATGAAATTTTATTGTCAAATTAAGAGCGGTATGGATATTATGTGATATAACTTTTTATTTCTTTAAAAGAAGTTAAAAATATCCGCGGATATCATAAGACTCGCGGATTACCTACTTAACATATACCCGCATGGATATGGAGCAGATATGGATATTATATTTATCCAACGGGGTAAATACGGATATCATAATATTCGTCCACATGGATATACATGTACATCCCTAGTCCTTCCTTAATGGAAAACAATAAATTACGTTTAGAGGTGCGGTTTTGTTCCCTCATCCTTAATCTCATCTTTTTTGATAGACTCTTGCACTAACTTTTGAAGTGACGTGTCTTTTAGAAATTCCGCCACTAAGTTTTTAACTTGTGGGAAGTATGAATACTCCTTTGATTTACAAAGTCCATTTCCTCTTAAAGAGGATGAATATTAACTAATTTATCTTCATCATGTCTCTTCACTGAGAACCATATCACGAACATCATTAAGTTTTAAAGTTGTTTTTTCGACTAGCTACAAACTCATTAGAGTATCAGTCTAACCATCTAATAGGAATGACAAAATTTTCAATGCTCTGTGGCCATGTATAATCACCTTATTCATTTCCATTATAACCGATGAGATAAGGAAAACCACCACTAGGACATCAAATACTTCTACAAGATCTCACCCTTTTAAGAAAACACGATAACACACACGCACAATATATATATATATATATATATATATATATATATATATATATATATATATATATATATATATATATATATATATATATATATATATATATATATATATATATATATATATATATATATATATATATATATATATATATATATATATATATATATATATATATATATATATATATATATATATATATATATATATATATATATATCTTAATGTTAATGGAGTCAATCTCTAACAAACAAACTATTTATATAGAGCTTCACCGTGAGCAAGTTCGTGTTCTTAACAAACCTTGAAGCCTCTGACAACCCTTATATAGCGTGGGTTGTCACACTCATTGTACCTTTATCAATTACAATTGGCGCTTACCATGGGCCCCTGGCAAAACTGACATGGGCCAAACATACACATCTTATCATGAGCTACTCTCACCATCTTCCTACGAGAATGCTTTGGAAAATTTTCAAGAAAACCATTAACACCATCGCCGAAGGCTTCTTCTTCGAAGGAGAATTCAACTTCTCATTAAGAAAATACCCCAGAAAGGTGTTAATAGCAGATATCACACCCCAAAAAAACCATCAGCGTCTTTGGCGCAGAATGGGAATAGAAAATCACCTTCTCAAAAAAGGACGTTGTAGACATACTCCTCCATAATAATGATCTTTTGATCATCACGATTCAACACATTAACTAGGAGGTGAAGAGGGTGTTAATCAATTTCGACAGTTCTACATATATTTTGTTATGGAGTACCTTCCTGCATGGTTGTCAAACACACGAGTAGACTCATAAACTCATATGAGTTTACGAGTCTAGGAAGCTAAAACAAGTATAATCGCACATATAATTATTTTTTTGATAGAATCAAGTAGACTTGCACAAACTCGTATAAACTCACAAGTTTAAGGATAGTTTATGAGTCTATATATTTTTTATGAATATTTTTTCGGAATAAAATCCTCAAAAAAATGGCCCAAATTTCCCATTTTTTATATTAAAAATAACCCTTGTTCTATTGCTTGTACGATGATACGTTTAGAATTAGAAACATCCCTTTCTTAATCTCTTCCTTTAGACATATGTGTGTGTCATATATGTGTCAATTACATGTTTTTGAAAGTCATTTTTAATTTTACATAGACTCGTATGAGTCTGCGAGTTAAGTCTACAGATCCTTTATGAGTCTGAGTAGACTCGCGAGTTTGACAACCTTACCTTCTAAGGACTTCAGATAGATTCATAGGATATCAAATCTTTCCATGAATCTCTGATAAGCCTATTAGGTGAGCAAGTACATGTCAACGGAGATGCTATATCGCCCTTGAGACTGTAGTAGGCTAAAGGGCGATCGTTAGGCCATAGAAGTGAAGTACCTCGAAGCATATGGCATATCCTCTTACAACGTCATCCTAGGGAAACCCGCCTTGAATTTGTAAGGTGTGATCCAGTCCATGTGCCACCAAATTTTAAATTATCCCTTGCTGAATGGGTGTGTGGGTATCATCAAGGAAGACAAGGTAGTCGCTCAATAATGTTACCTAAATAGCCTGACAATATCAAGGGATCCCATCCCCTAGCTACAATCCCTCTTCGTAGTATGAATGAATTTGATACAGCAAGTTGAGACCCAAGATTGGGAGTATAAAGTTAAAGGTTCACCCCAACCAAAGATCCGAAAGAGGTTTAGATTGGGCCCATGTCTCATCAGGTCACCAAATTGGACACCTCGATGTTCGAGTCTGAAGAGGAAAACTTGATCACCTTGCTCATGAGGAACGTTGACCTATTCACATTAGCTTCTTTAGATTTTCCTGGCATTAGCACAAGAGTGATGTGTCATAGAATCACCATAGATCCCTTTATCATGCCAGCGTCTTAAAGAAAATGCAAGGTTGGCAAAGAAAAGAGAGCAGTCGTCGACGAAGAGGTTAAGAAGCAGAAAGGTGTTGACTTTATAACGAAGATCAAATACCATTTGTCACTAGCTAATATGGTTATGGTAAGGATGACATCGAACAGGTGGCACATGTGCATAGACTTTACCGATCTTAATGCCTAATTCCCCAAAGATCTTAATCCCTTCCCAAATATAGATCCCCTAAGTGATGGATCTTCAGGTTACAAAATATTACAAGTTTCATGGACGCTTATTCGGAGTACAACAAGATCAAAACGAATTTCATAGGCGCTTCTAAGACGACGTTCATGTCTAATAACATAAATTACTATTACAACGTCATGCCTTTTTGGCTTAAAATTGTCGGTGTCACCTACCAACAAATCATGGACTCGGTGTTCATAAGGCAGAAGGACACAACCTAGAAGTTTACATTGATGACATGATCGTGAAGACATCAGAAGGGGAAATCCACACAATAGACTTATAAGATATCTTGGGATTAGTTGGAGATTACAACATGCGTCCTAATCCAGTCAAATGTTTGTTTGGTGTATAGATGGTAGAGAGAGAGAGAGATATTTAAAAAATCTTTAGTTATATAAGTCATCTATCTTATAAATCCAATTTCTACCTATTTATATGAGAAGTGAGACTCCTCACACTCAAATTCAACTTAGATAAAATAATGTGTATGGAAGACTAGTATATAAGGTTTTTTAAAAGAAAAATATAATCAAAATTATAAAAAAAACTTAAGCACAAGAGATTTGAAAAACTCAAACCCATTAGAAGTTATTAAAACCAAATACACTATAATCCCAAACATTATAGTTTATCAAGTGAGACAATATAGAGGGTTCATATACTATTCATAATAAAGATAAAGTTCACCTTTCCCTCATGGTTTGTATTACCTTGACGTCCAAAGTAGTATCTATTGCCCGATGGTGATCCTTAGTAAACTTATTATAACGATCAATAATTAATTCCAAGCTGCAAAACATGCTAATGTTACTACTAATGAAATAAAAATATTATTTTTATGAATCTAAATAACACCAACAGTTAAGCAAAATGTCTTCTATCCAATGGTTATTTCCTCAAAGTTCTATAAAAGTAAATTCTTCTAGATAGAGCATATATTTTAAATAGTCAATGAACAAGGTGAAACGATCCAGCAAAAATAAAAGTTGAAACAGAAGAGATGATTGGATCTGGTGTACCTGGAGCTTGCATAGTGATAAAGCTTATGAGTGGAAGAGAACAAAATCAATCCAACTTGTGCATCACAAAGAATGGACAGTTCTTTAGCTTTCTTCTTCAACCCTTTCCTTCGCTTTGAGAAAGTCACTTGCCGGTTAGTCAAATTCTCAATCTTTCGAATCACAATCTTTCCTCTCCCCATCTTAAAGGAGAGGGATGCTGAAACAAAAACGAGTGGAAGAAGATGGTTTGTGGGAAAGTGGTTTTTGTAGAAGTCCAAGGCTGTTTTTTGTTGTGCTGATCGAGGAGTTTAAGGTTTTGGTGTGTGGGCCAATGAGCGTCGAGGAAGTACAGAAATCACATTAAGAATAGATAAAGTACATATGATGTGTGTAGGTAAATGACAGCATGACAGTCAGGTATATGATGGCGTGTCAACGAATGTGTGGTATAATGAGACTGTAGAAAGAAACCCTACTTGATTTGGAATCAAGTCAAATAAATTATTAATACTACTAATATTTCTTTTATAATCCTACTCAACCATAGTACATAACTAGTAGAATATTTTACCAAGTTCCCAATTTAAATTCTAAACTAATCAACTTTTTTCTATAATTTCTAATATATCAATGTTTCAAATAACAAATAAAATCAATAGTATTTTAGGCGGACTCTTTGAGTTTTAGAGGGAACTCAATAAAACTTAAGTGATTTCATTGAATAATAAAGAGGATACCAATAGTATTTAATGTTTTTTTTTAATTATTTATTTATTTTAATATATATTATATAATATAATTGTGTAATATTTAATATTATTTTGTAGTGGGAAATTTTGTATAAATAGAAGTGTGTCTTTTATCATTTTTTTTACATATCTTTTCATTTTCTTTTTAATGTTTTTTTAATTTGTTCTAACATGAGTAGTAAAAGACATGAGCATATTTTTTATTCGAGAACAAGTCTCCGATGAAGATGTATTTTTGAAATATCTGAATTTTGAGCAACTTGAGAGGAACTTGATCTTTTGGTTAGACAAAGAGATTATTGACGGTGAAAGAATTAAAAATATTGAGACTTGTTTCGTATATCTCTATTGCAGATGACAATAATGATATCCAGCGTATATTTCTTGCTTGCAATAATTATATCCAACCTTTATGTATTTCGACTTGATAATATCCCATTAGTCGCCCCTCGTTGTGGTCCATTGTCTACTAGACACTAAAGTTGTAATTGTGACGATCAAATCGTGTGACGCGATGTATGTTAACTTCATAGTTTCTTTATTCATAAATTTCATATAACTTTCACTGAATAATGTTCTTGGTTCTAACAATGAGCTCCATATTATTTTACTTTTGGTAGCGAAAGTGATCCCAAACTACAATAGATTTCGCTCACCAACGCAGTTATGGGTAAGTTTCTATTGCCCTTAAAGACATCGTTCATGGATTTCCACAAGGTTTGTTGTGACCCCATCATCGTCCTTCATCAAATGCCCTTGTCCACTTCTCCATTAGAATGTTTTCCACCCACCTTAATGCATCCGCATTTCACAATCTTATTTCCTAACAGTAGTGTATGAATGATGGTTGATTTAAAGCATACCCCGCATTAATAACTTTTTTTCGAAGATTTATGTCTTTGATTTTCCACATGAAGTTTTGTGCAATGTGTCTTATGCAGTAGGCATGCGCAGAAGAAGAATTTTGCCAACCATTATATAATTGTCTTACAACACAATATAACTTGAGTGGTTTTTCAAAACTTTATACTGAATTGTTACTAAGGGAGATAAATATTTACCTACATTTTTTTCATATTAGGATGCATATTCGACATCTAAAATATCAGAGTCGAACATACTACTAATGTTAGTGGACATATGAGCGAAAATACATAAAAATGAGTAATGTCCTGACTTCTTCATTCCTACAAAATAGTATCCTCTTACAAAACCATATTGAAAGATCATAAGTTAGTGACTATCGCAAATGTGTCCTTTAACTCATACGTCACTCAGTCATTCTACATGCTAGTTATATGATATTATTTTCTATTTTGGCTGGGTCATATGCAAATTATGTATAATCTAATGCTTGTAAGAAAGAGTTTTTCTCTAGATCAAATACATGAAGACTATTACAATATTTTTTCATCTCTAATATACCTATGATCACTCAAGGGAAAATTGTTGAGTACTTGATTATATATTGTATGTGGAGGACGTATGCGACTGTATTCTCAATAGTTGGGACACTACAATGAAATAAATGAGGTGGTATATTAAGATATCACATCCCTACCTAATTCTCACACATTAAGAATATCTTTCAGTTTCAATTAAGAATAACACTTTAGCATAAGATCTAAGAGAAGAGAAAGGCAGTAGTATAATCTTATTTGCACACAACTCCAAGAAATAACATCAGAGTTACTATCTCATGAAATTGTAAAAAAAATTCAAAAGTTCACGATGTAGTTTAGAAGATTCTAATAAATGCTAAAAATGTTTTGCGACAAAAAAGATTTAGAGGGAAAAAGAATAGTTCATGTGCTACATAGTGGAATTCATTTTGTGTAGGATATATATGTATTTGGACACGATGTTGGAATTGATTCAATAACTAATTTATACAAGACATACTCAAATACAATGATTAAAGTTGTAATAATAATTTAAGATGGAAGTGAAAAAAACATATGAGCATGCATACATACCACCTTAGGAACTATCACATATGGATCTATTAAGAATTATACGAATACGTGAACGGATCTAAGAATAAATCTTTTTATGTAGTGACAACGGTAATCCTTAAACTCAAAAGTGTAGATACAAGTGACTAACACTTGTTGGCTTATGAATCTTCCTTAAATCGTACTCCTAATATCATGGAGACTTTTCATATGAAGAGAAGAGATAATATGTTTGTTGCACGATATATTAGGAACCATAACCTATATATAGGGATGACCAATTAGGATTTTCATTATTCCAAAATAGATCATCCTGACATTAAACTCATATTTGAGCTCATATCTAATTAATTAATTACTAAATATAAATTTAATTAGCATTTTAACTTTACTTAACCACTTCATCGTTAAAGACTCTTAATTTTATAATAGATAGTATGATTCAAATAATATATATATATATATATATATATATATATATATATATATATATATATATATATATATATATATATATATATATATATATATATATATATATATATATATATATATATATATATATGAGAGAGAGAGAGAGAGAGAGAGAGAGAGAGAGAGAGAGAGAGAGAGAGAGAGAGAGAGAGAGAGAGAGAGAGAGAGAGAGAGAGAGAGAGAGAGAGAGAGAGAGAGAGAGAGAGAGAGAGAGAGAGAGAGAGAGAGACGTGTATACTATGAAAATGATAATTTTATGCGAGAACATAATAATGAATCTGAACCATTAAATTAAAAATAAACTGGTGAGATTATGTGTCATTTTTATTCTCAGTCAATTTTATCTCTCCTCCATTATTAAAATAAATGACTTAAATTAAATATTATATTTATGATTATCGAAATTCTCTTTCCTCTGCTGGAACCACTAGATGTCAGAACCGACCCCCGAATCAGATTAGACAGTCCGGTGGACTGGATATTGGTGGTGAAAACAAAAAAAAAAGTTCTCTTTCCTCTCATCCATTTATTTTAATCTAATGGCTTATATTTCTTCTCATGTTCTCACATAAAAATATTATTATCATAGTATATGTTATATTCATATTCGTTCCTATAAAACGGTATTCTCTTACGGAACCATATTGAAAGATCATAAGTTAGTAACTAAAGCAAATGTGTTCTTTAACTCATACGCCACTCCTTATTCTACATGCTAGTTATATGATATTATATTCAATTTTGGTTGAGTCATATGCAAATTATGTATAATCTAATGCTTGCAAGATAAAGTTTTGCTTTAAATCAAATACTTGAAGACTATTACAATATTTTTTTATCTCGAATATACCTATGATCACTCGAGAGCAAATTCATCAGATGCATGTTAGTACTTGATCATATGTTGCATGTGGAGGACGTATGTGACTGTATTCTCAATAGTTTGAATACTACAATGATATAAATGAGGTGGTATATTGAGATATCACATCCTACATAATTCTCACACATTAAGGATACCTTTCAGTTCCAATTGAGAATAACACTTTAGCATAAGACCTAAAAGAAGAGAAAGGCGGTAGTCTAATCTTATTTGCACACAAATCCAAGACTTAACATCGAAGTTACTATCTCATGAAATTGTATAAAAAAAATCAAAACTTCATGATGTAGTTTAGAAGATTCTAATGAATGCTAAAAATGTTTTGCGACAAAAAAGATTTAGTAGAAAAAAGAATAGTTAATGTGCTACATAGTGGAATTTATTTTGTGTAGGATATATTGGTATTATGTATTTGAACACGATGTTGGAATTGATTCAATAACTAATTTATATAAAATATACACTACAAGAAACATTGTATTTTCTCAAGTGATTCTCACGTCACTAAGTTAAAAATTACTTCACTAACCACTATTTGCAACGTGGGAGAAACACGCCGGAAATGCAATGGTGGAAACTTTTTCCTACATGAAAAACACGTCACAAAGTTGTGACATATAAACATCATGTGGGAACTTTTTCCCATGTGATTCCCACGTCACTAATTAGTGACATGAGATTCACTTCACTATAAAATTTAATAATAATAAAAAATAAATAATATTAACTGAAAACAACTATAAAATTAAAATAAATATTAAATATTAAATTTAAAATAAAAATATTTTTTAATTAAAATAATATACATTAAAAATATATACATAATTAGTCACATGAAATTCACGTCACAAATACAAATAATAATAATAATAAAAGTTGTGACGTAATATTCACGTCACAAATATAGACAATAATAAAAAAAATTTATTCCTCGTCACTAAATGATACATTTTCGTCTTCTTCATCATCTTCGGCAGAATAATTCGATTTCGAGGCAAAATTTTTTTTGCATTTGTGCCTCCATGTCTGATTGCCGCTTCCTCATTTCCTCTATTTCAGCATTTTGTTTATTTCTCATATCATCCATTTCGGCCTTTAGGGCCGCCTCACGTGTCTCTGCCTCTCGTCTCGCCTCAGATAGAGCTAACTGTCTCACTGTTGCCAACATTTCTGGTGTCAATTCTGCCGGACGCGATCCTCCTTCCCCATCATCGAGTCTTTGAAATAATGTTCGGTCCCCTTTTCTATATTCGCCAGCCAAAGACCCCAGACCAAAAAAACATCCATTGACTCTCTTCCCGCCTATTGTTAAATTCCAAATATAACGATCAACGCGTGGATCAAGCAGTGCATCCCCAATCAACGTATATTGAGGATTTTCAGTTAGAAATTGGGCAAGCAAGGTCTGGTACAACTCCTACACACACATTAAAAAAATTAAATTAAATATAATTTAAACAATTTAATTATATAGTAATTTTGAAATTAAAAGAATTCAACTATAATTAACAAGTTACCAAGGTTGATTTGGAATGGCCGTCAACAAAGTCCCCCGGTTTTTTGGTTCGGGTCTTCACAAATAGCTCATTAATTCGTGACTCCCTCCCCAAGTCTTTTTTCTAATTAAAATAATGAAGCTTAAGTAAATAAATAATAATAAAAAATAAAACTTAAAAAAATAGTTATAATTATCATTCGTCGACGATGTTCGCCGATACTGATACTTCCAACTGTACTAAGACAGCCATCTGCTTCAGATGCCCTCATCTTTTTAGCATGTTCAGATCTTCTCTGAAAATCTTCTGTCTTCCACCACTCAACAAGTTCACCAAATATTTCCTCGCATATCCAGTTAGTACGAGTTTGATCTCTTTCCCAACGTTGTCTAGCATTCCTGAGCATGTCAGATAATCTGCTAGATACCTTACTTTTGAAATTTTTTTTAATTCTGAACTCGTCAAATTTCTGCCAAGTACACCTTTCCTGCAAGTTATATGACAGTCAAATAAAATGTTAGACATATATAACAAAAAACCGTTATAAAATAACATAACTATAATAAAAATACAATTTACCTTGAATTTATCAAACCATATATCTTTCTCAGTATCTGAGAGCTCTCCGAAAGACTTAATGAGTTTTGTATACATCAATCGAATGACCCAGTTTACAGCTTTAGCAGCAGGACGACACAAATCAAAACTAAACAACAATAATTTGAACGAGTATTAAACATAAAATGACAATATATAGCTAAATAAATATTATAAATTAAAAACATACCCAGATCCCTCAGGCCTAATCAGATGTCGTCCTTCAACCACCAAATGCTCCTCTGCAACATGATTTGTCTGCTCCTCATGAACATCGTCATCCCCCTGAGCAGTGTGGTCATCCTGCTGCTGACGAGCAGGTATATGTGTGGGGTGTGGAATGCGGGAACCAGATCCTTCTGGCTGGTGCGTGGAGGGTGTCGGCTGAGGAAAACTAGATCCTGAAGGCTGCGGCGTGAAGGAATACTGCTGAGGAAAAACAGATCCCCCAGGCTATGCAAAGTGAGTCTGCTAAGGAAAACTAGATCCCTCAGGTTGCGGCGTGAAGGAATACTGCTGAGGAAAAACAGATCCCCCAGGCTGTGCGAAGTGAGTCTGCTGAGGAAAACTAGATCCCCCAGGCTGCGAAGTGAGTCTATAATAATTCAATTTGTAAAGCCAGATAAGTAGTTATGTTAGGGGTATACTTACTCAAGATATGGCCTAACTTCAATACAGTTAATAAGAACATGAACATGTGCAGATTGCAGTTCTTTTTGGGTCAGCCAATGCACATTCTCCTTTCCAGAGGGGCGACCGGGAAGACCGAAGATTGACAAGGTAAACTGACTTCTTTTGTTAACATCAAATTCATTCCTTATGATTCTTGGAGTTAACATCAAATGATTGAAATAATGACTGCAAAAATGTGATGTTTCCCGATGCAAATAATGTGCACATATTGATCCTTCAACTTTAGCTTTATTTTTCACTGATCGCTTTGAATCACCCATGAATCTTTCAAAGGGATACATCCACCTGTATTGCACGGGGCCACCAAGATAGGCTTCATATGCAAGATGCACAGGTAGATGCTCCATAGAATCGAAAAAACCAGGTGGAAAAACGCGTTCCAACTTGCATAGAATAACTGGAATATTTTGGTCCAACTTAATGATGCTATCGACTCTTAAAGTTGACGCACAAATATCTCTGAAAAATTGACTTATTTTAGTTAGCGGATATAACACATGGTTGGGTAGTGAACTGAACGCAATTGGAAGCAATCGTTCCTTGAAAACATGACAATCATCACTTTTCATTCCATGCAACTTCCCAGTTTTGGTGTCAGCACACCTTGCTAAATTTGAAGCATAACCATCCGGCATTTTCAATTCATTTAACCATCGATAAACCGCTTTAGCATCTTGGGAAGTTAGACTGTAACATGCCTTAGGTTTTAATAATTTTCCATTAGGCCGAGGCTTCAACTCCAACTCTTTTCTATCACACAAAATTTCCATGTCCCTTCTAGCCTTCTCATTATCCTTTGTTTTACCTTGAACATCCATCACTGTGTTAAATATATTATCGAAGAAATTCTTTTCAATATGCATAACATCAATATTATGTCGCAATAAATTATCTTTCCAATATGGGAGGTCCCAAAATATACTTCTTTTTGTCCAATTGTGTTTAACCCCATATCCTTCAATTCTATATGCTTCACCGTAATGTGGACAATCGCGGAGGAGGCAAATCTTTTACTCGTACATCTTTTTTGAAATCAGTCTTGTTTCTTCTAAATACATGGTCTCATGGTAGGATTCTGCGGTGAGAGTCAAACCACGAACTTTTCCCTCAAATTCCAAAGTAAAAGCCTTTGTAAATTCCATGCAATGTGGACATCCCATTTTGCTATGCATACCCCAACCAGATAACATTCCATAAGCGGGAAAGTCATTAATAGTCAGCATCAAGGCAGCTCGCAAAGTAAAGTTTTGTTTGCGAGATATATCATAGGTCCATTCTCCAATCCACAACCTCTTCAAATCATCTATTAAAGGTTGCAAATAAACGTCGATTCCAGATTTAGGACTTGACGGTCCTGGAATGAGGCAAGTCAAAAACATGTATGGTTTTGTCATGCACATCTCTGGAGGGAGGTTGTAAGGGGTTACGATAACTGGCCAATAGGAATATGCAATTGCAGATGCTTGGACGTATGGAGTAAAACCATCAGAGCATAGTCCGAGCCTGACATTTCTAGGTTCTGCAGCAAAATCAGAATGTACCCTATCAAAATGTTTCCATGCCTCGCCGTCAGATGGATGCCGCATAATGCCTGAACATGTTTTATTTGTATGATGCCATGTCATTTGACTTGCACTATGCATTGAAGCAAACAATATTTTTAACCTTGGTATTATCGGCAAATAAAACATGGACTTCATTGCTACATGTTTTTGTTTACGGTTAATGGCTTTACTACGAACTTGATATCTCGGACTCTTACAAAACTTACATTCCTCCAGCGCCTCATCATTAATACCAAACTCATTGTCATAAAACAACATACATCCTTTTATACAACAATCAATCTTTCGTACTTCTAAATCCAACTTCGACACCAACCTCTTTGCATCATAATAACTTGTAGGCAAGTTGTCTTTCGTAGGAGTCGCATCCAACATCATTTTTGCAAAGTATTCCAAACACTGATCAGGAACATTCCAATTTGACTTTGCGGCCAATAATCTCACACACATTGATAATTTTGAATCTACTGACCCCTCAAACAACGGTGTATTCATTTCTTTCAACAATTGGTAAAACCTTTGTGCTTCCTCATTCGGCAACTCTTCCCCATCAAAATCCTGAGGTTCATCATATGTCACATTTACTCCAAATGCATTTCCAACCATTTCATCGATCAGATTAAATTGTTCATCAAATTCCATATGTGATCGACTGCTTGATGTGTGTGTATTAGTTGTCTCTGCATGTACGTTACTCGGTAGTTGTTCTCCATTATATGTCCAAACCCAATAATTTTTAATGAAACACTTCCTCTTCAAATGACGTTCTACTTCCTCTGGATCACTAATTATAGGTCTACATTCACATTTAAGACAAGAACATCTCACTCCTCCCTCACGTCGACAACATTCTTGTGCAAATGCCCACGCGATAAACCCCTTAACTCCTTCCTCAAATTTTGGTGTAAGTCCAAGTCTGCCTGGTAACGTTCTATCGTACATTCAACTACGATAGTAACGAAAATATTCCATACTGCAGAAATTTGTACTATCATTATATATCATTTTAATAAAATATGTAATTTAAATCTTTTTTTTCAATTTCGACACCAACTTAATAAAATATGTTCACTAAAATAATATAAATTCATTATTTTTAAAGTATAATATATATTCATTATTTTTAAAGTATAATATATTTATTAAAGTATAATATATATTCACTATATTTTTTTAAAGTATAATATATATTCATTATTTTTAAAGTATAATATAAATTCACTAAAATAATATATTATACTAATAATAACATATTTAAAGTATAATATATATTCATTATTTTTAAAATCTGTTTTTAATAATTGAATGTGTAAAAATAATGTATTAAATGTGTTATTCTGTTTTTAACATATTTACTAAAATAAAATAATATATATTATACTAAATCTGTTTTTAATAATCTATTTTTAAAAATCTGTTTTTAAAAATCTGTTTTAAAAATCTATAATATATATAATTGATTTACTAAAAATAACACATTTAGTACATATTTATTATTTTTTAATAAAAATACTTTTTCAAAAAATAATACATTTAAAAATAACATATTTTAAATATAATACATATTCTTTATGTTTTTAAAAAATATATATTGATTTTTTCTATTTACAATATTATTTACTAAAAATATTTTTAAAAATTATATTTTTTCTAACATAATAAATATTCTGTTTTTAAAAATCAAAAATACATAACATATTTAATTTGTTTCTAATATATTATTTTTGTTTCTTATAAATATTCTATTTTTTTAATTTGTTTCTAATAACATATTATTTTTATTTTTTCTTTCAACAACAACAACACAGTATATATATATATATATATATATATATATATATATATATATATATATATATATATATATATATATATATATATATATATATATATATATATATATATATATATATATATATATATATATATATATATATATATATATATATATATATATATATATATATATATATATATATATATATATATATATATATATATATATATATATATATATATATATATATATATATATATATATATATATATATATATATATATATATATATATATATATATATATATATATATATATATATATATATATATATATATATATATATATATATATATATATATATATATATATATATATATACACACACACTTGCATCTAACAAAAAAAAAATCTAAAATTTCCTAATCAATATTCTAAAATAATACTTCATATATCAAATATATAAACAAATTGTAATGCAAAAATACCTCTCAAAAGCTTCCAATGGAACTCATTAATCAATATTAGATCTGGAAAAAAAATTAATAGTTAATAAAAAGAAAAACATAAAATAAATGGAAAGGTAAAACAGTCACAACAACATACAAATGCTTCACCTTAAATTTGTAAAATTTTCGTTGGAGGTGTGAAGGAGAATAATGAAGGACTGGAAATGTGAGGGAGGAAGAAGAAAAGCTGAAGAAAGAAGATGAAGAACTGAAGTGAAACGAGATGGGTGAAAATTCTGGGATATATAATGAAACTTGCGACGTGGGGAACACGTGGGAAGGTACCCACGTGAACGCCACGTCGGACAAACATCAACTCCAAGCGACGTGAATTGGGGGTCGGAACAGTCCAAGAATTTGTGACGTGGCAATAGGGTCGGAACAGTCCCCTATATTAAATTATATATGTTGCGCCACTAAATGGCAAAGCAACGGTTCATTCACGTAACCAATACGTAACCAATGTGTCTGACAAATTAATGGAAATCATTTTTGCGACCTGAAAAGCATGTGGGTAATTTGTGACATGCTTATCACGTGAAAAAAAAAAGAACTTTTTTGAATTTACCGTTCCCTTGTGATTTACACGTCACAACTGAATTTGTGAAAAATTCAAACTTTTAAATAATTTAGTGATGTGGGAATCACTTGGCAACACATTTTTTTCCACGTGATTACCACGTCACTAAATCACTAAGGAAAAACAACATTTTCTTGTAGTGATACTCAAATACAATTATTAAAGTTGTAATAATAATTTAAGATGGAAGTGAAAAAAAATATATGAGCATGCATACACATCACCTTACGAACTACGACATATTGATTTATTAAGAATTATATGAATACGTGAAAGAATCTAAGAAAAAATATTTTTATCTAGTGACAACAGTAATCCTGAAACCCAAAAGTGTAGACACAAGTAACACTTGTTGGCTTATGAAGTTTCCTCAGCCCGTATTTCTAATGTCATGAAGACTTTTCATATGAGGAGAAGAGATAATATGTTTGTTGTACGGTACATTAGAGACCTTAGCCTATATATACGAATGACCACTTAAGATTTTCATTATTTCAAAATAGATCATCTTGACATTAACTTATATTTGAACTGATATCTAATTAATTAATTACTAAATATAAATTTAATTAGCATTTTAACTTTACATAATCACTTAATCGACTAAGACTCTTAATTTTATAAATAGATATATATATATATATATATATATATATATATATATATATATATATATATATATATATATATATATATATATATATATATATATATATATATATATAGAGAGAGAGAGAGAGAGAGAGAGAGAGAGAGAGAGAGAGAGAGAGAGAGAGAGAGAGAGAGAGGGGGGGAGAGAGGATGTGTATACTATGAGAATGATAATTTTATGCGAGAAAATAAGAATGAATCCGAATCATTAGATTTAAAGTAAATGGGTGAGATTATGTGTCATTTTTATTCTCAGTCAATTTTCTTTCTCCTCCATTATTAAAATAAATGACTTAAGTTAAATATTATATTTCTTTTATCAAAATTCTCTTTCCTCTACTGGAACCACTTGATTCCAGAACTGACCCCTGAACCAGATTAGGTAGTCCGGTGGGCTGGTACTGGTGGGAAAAACCGAAAAAAATTCTCTTTCCTCTCACCCATTTGCTTTAATCTAATGACTTAGATTCATTCTCACAGTATATATATATATATATATATATATATATATATATATATATATATATATATATATATATATATATATATATATATATATATATATATATATATATATATATATATATATATATATATATATATATATATATATATATATATATATGCACATAATAATTATTGGAATATAATACTTAAATAATATTTAAATATAAAATATTTCAACAATCTTCAACTTGGGCAATATATCTTAATAAATATATCTCACTTTTTTAGGCGTGTATCTAAATGTTATTTATCTTTAGATTTTAATTTTATAATC